GAAATATGTTTATTGAGTTTCTAATTCATTCATATTTTCCTTTATTAAAAGAGGGGAAATCTCTGCACCAGGAAATTTAGAAAAAAATGACATAGTCTCTTAAAAGTTCCAACCCATCATTTATAGTTATCTTCACCTTTTCTCTGCAGAGCAAGACATTAACCATTCTTGACACTATATTCTGTGGTTCTTGCCCAAAAGAATAAAAACCACCGCTAGCTGGTATCACATAAACGTAACTTTTGCAGAAGAGTACCCCACAATGGACTACAGCTCACCTATTTGTCTTAGCCTCCAATAACTTTAAAACATTCTCTTTGTTTAAAAAAGTAGAAGAATCACCTGGTATTTGAGGTTCCTCAAAGCCTTATTACGATACTTTCTTACTGTTGCAGTACCAGTGTTCTTCCAACAACATCCCTAAAAAAGGTTCTGAGATGGAGAAAAAGCCTTGATTTGAGTATGTCAGTTCAGAATGTATTGTATAGCCCTCTTAAAACAATTTTATTCGAGGCTGCTATTTTGTAAAAACTAATGAGCTAGAAATAAAAGGAAAAAAACCCTCAATGCTACTTAGTGGTTTTCCTGAATTTCAAATCTTAAAAATTTACCTTATTAGCCTCTTCACTTTAACATGACCTATTTTTCCCTGTTCTGAAACTGATAAAAACCAAACCAAAACAGTGTTCAGTACTCTTGCAAATCACCATATTATAATATTCATAATATTGGTACATATGCGTACATACTTAACTCAAAGTGTTTTGTCTAACACAGCTACACCTCAATGCCATATATGTTACACATTTCCAGGCATTTAACTTCAAAATCTCCTATCTAAAAAGCTACAAATACTACCAAACAAGCACCACATTTGATAGAGAGGTTATGCATGAGCATAGTGTCGAGATAGTGAGCTACTGACTCCCTAGAAAAATAAAAAGAAAATGCATGTACAGGATCACATTCTGAAGCTTACAGAGGTACACTGAATTTTTGCCATTCAAAAACAGTTTCAGAGAGATTCAGGAAAAACTGAAAGATTTCATATATTGCTTTTCAAAATTAAAGAACCAAGTGTATAATCATGTCTAAGAAGACTGTGTAGCTCCACATGAATGGGCATTGAGGCTTCTCCCTGTTCTCCTGCTTTCCCTTCCCCCCACCCATACTTTATTCTAATCAGCTGAAGAATTCCCAGGGACCGTGATAAATGCAAATATTTTCACCCTACAAAACTGTTAACATGTACTTTTTCTTCCCTAGGCAACAGAATAAAACAAATCCAGAAGCAACTATAACCATCACAACCTACATTTCAGGGCATCACCAGCCCCTAATTTCTTGATCCTCACTTACTTTGTGTTCTTCAAGCAAAAAAAAAAAAAAAAACCCAACAGGCCTTTTCTTTCTTCTCCCCTGGCCTTTCTTTCTATTTAATTGCCGTTTCAAATGTATTATTTTTCTTCAGCATCTCCTGATTAGGTTTTTCCTTTAAGATCCTCTCTCCACAAGGTCTTAATGTATTTTTTTTCAGATTGGTTTCCTATTTATAGGAGCACTCAAATCCTCTAGCACACTTAGCTTATCAATTTGACAATGCTCAGTCTGCCCAGGACTCCCTGCATATTGTAGGAAATCCTTTCCTGATTCAGAGATTGCCAGACTAATGCGGGAAGCACAGTGTCCATTTAAACACAGATACCCTTGATTTGAAAGAACCATGAACTCCAGTCTTTACAAAAAGCAAGGTATTTAGCTTGGCAAGTTGTCATATTTTAATACCTCAAAATATTTTCAAAGGAGTAAACAAGGACCTTCTTAACATCTACTGCCAGATTCAGCTCATGATGGCTACCAGCTCGTAGATTTTCAGGGCCACAGTAAACAAGGACCTTCTTAACATGTAGTGCCAGACTCAGCTCATTATGATGGCTACCAGCTCGTAGATTTTCAGGGCCAAAATCATCACCAATGCCAAGAATTTGCCATTAACACTAGGAATACATGGCACTATTTTTTCATGTTAAACTCTTGCAATAGAAGGTTTGTTTTTAAAGTTATATGGTGAAACAAGGTCTGTCCCACACTCCTGATTCAGAACCAGCTTTGGCAAATTCAGAACCATGCACAATGCCAGTATGGTGCATGCACAGCAGAGAAAGTATATGCAGCAGGCTTATAAAGTTATACTTCTATACATTTTCTGTTTCTAAATACAGTCAGTTTATTACTTGGAAATGTGGCTTCAATTCTAAATAAAAGATTTTACGTTGTTTCATGATCAGACATCACTCTGTGTAAGGAATCATGCTGAAATCCAGCCCTGCTTAGTGCAGCTATTAACAACACACCAGAGAAGAATTTTTCAAACCTCAAAGCCTCAGAAGAAATCCCAAAAATGCAGCTTTCTCCTGTCAAGGCTATAGGCAATGATCATTTCAGACAGAAAAAGAAACTGAGCTCATTTGTTTATCCTGCATCTTGTTCCAAAGCAATTAACTGAATGAAGGAATTGCTTGCCTGTCCACGATTAGAGCAGGCTTAACACTTGTCAACTGCCATCTTTTGGAATTAATTCAGCCAACATCGTCATGTGCTTCAAGCACATCCCCAAATCTTGGCCAGACATAGCTAGAGGGCTTTTTTTTTTCCAGCACAGAAAAACAGCAGTTAAATGATTAATGATTTTCCTGTAATAATTCAGTATGGCTTTCCTGATAGGCAAAAGGAAGGCAGCAACCTGTGCTAAACTGGGAAAGGGTGTTTGTGGGGGAAGAGGGAAAAATCCTGCTAACATCGTTGGTGCCCCCAGGCATCTGTAAAGGCAGATCTTCAAGTACTTCAACAATTTTGATGGTGATGCTCTGGCTCTTGGTGGCTTCCACCACTTACAGAACAATGTTTGGCTCTGATTCACACCAAACTATCAAGAAACATCTTACCTGTGAAAATACATTCACCTATATAGGAAGAATTTGGTCATCTCTACAGGGAGAACTCACATCTAGGGTTCTTGTATGAGTCTTGTATATGAGAAGCAAGACAGAAAGATGGGTGTTATTCCTGAATTAAGGAACAGGTATTACCCACCTCTTTGGAAAAATCTCTTACCAAAATTATGGTAACTCAATTACATCACTGTGCTTAGCCAATACTGATCACCAATATGGTTGAGCACAACTAATTAACATGTTAAAAAGCAGCAAAGAATAGCAACCAGCTTCCACTAAGCAATGCAAATGATCCTGAAATACAAAATTAGGTACTACCATAAGTATTGCTCACACTGGGCACTCCTTAGGGATCTTGCCTTTTTTTCTTTTTAAATAGAAGTCTGATAAAATGCATCCCCCTACAAGTACAGCTGCAGGCTCCACCGTTCCCCCTCCCCATATCTTGTGATGGTGACCCTTAGCCACCACCGTTCCAAGCAGGTACAGAACCAAGAATCAACACAAAATCATTGAAAACATCAAACAATCTTTCTAATATACTGCAGATCAAATTGGTAGCAGAGCCAACTGTAAAGATTGACCAATATTTCTCATTTTAAGATTCTCTACTCTGTTGTGCCAGAATTTAACTGTTCAGGCCGAACGCCAAATGTCTTTGCAAATGTTCAGCAATCTGTGAGAAAAATTGAGAATTACATTGTTTTCAGGTGTATTCGGTTCTAGAAACCTTTTATTTCAGAAATGCTATCATTACATACTGGGGGAAAAACTTTGTCAAACTATCTGTGCCAAACCCCACCTTAATTCGATTTCCTCTTGTTCGCGTGCTACAAAGCAATTTTTATGAACATGACTGAGAATCTTTTCCCACGTTAACCCTGCCTCAGTCAGTTCACAAAATGGACAATGTTTTCTTATTGAATTAAAGTTTTCTTTTTTCCAGATTGTTCAGGTGTGGGATCTGTGCCTCCTTATCTGAATACACTCTTCCATCTCTGCTCTGCAAACAAAACTATCAATGTATTGCAAGGATTTCCTCTCATACTCAGAGCTGCAAATATCCAAATGACTACCCAGTCCCAGTTTACTCCCAGTGTAGATCCAAGCTATAAAGTGAATGAGGCAAAGGTCTTAAAGAAAAAAAAAAAAAGGAGGCGGGGGGGGAAGAAAGAAAAACCAAAGAGGACCACAAGACAATTACGTATGCTTAAATCTTTGGGCAAAAAAAGCAGCAAATTATCCCCAACTGTCTTGAAAAAATACCTAAGCTCTCCTTTGCACTGTATTTGACAGTCACCAAAATACAATTCTGCTTTATTTTACTGCATTATTTGAGCACTGCATAATTTTTTAAGTTATTTTTTTATTTTCTAAGGGAAGAGAACATTTGTACCTTTCCGGTTTGCAGACAGGGTGAACCACAGCAGTGTAGTGAACCACAGAAGTACAAATTACAGCCTAGCAAAGACATAAACTTGGATCTCCCAAATTCCCTGCTAGGGCTTTAGTCATTGAGCCCTCTTCACTCTCCATGTCCCTCCTAGGGAGACCAGATGAATTCATCACAACACAATCCCTACATCATTCACAGCACTATGACCTTTTGCACCTTCCACTTAAATGTTGGTTTCGTGGTTTTGTGCTTCTCTTTATTCAGTATTCCTCACAAGAAGCAGAGATGTGTGAACTTAACTCGAACCCTTCCTTCTAAAAAAAAATAACTAAATGAAAAAATAAATTAAAAAAAATAATAAAACAGGTCGCAACACTTCGAAGATGAAAAATCATGGTGTTATCAACATGACCTGATGAAAATGATTACCAAATCTGATTGTATATAATATACCCCCTTACCAACAGCTGAAGAAGGGAAAGCTGCATCCCTGGGAAACATGATTGTCTTAAAATGTCTTAAAAATAGTATAAAGAATATAGAGACTTTTACAGTACAAAAATCAGTAGGGTTCTAGTGCAAGACTAACTTGACCTTTTTATAGGTTTTTTGAGCCATTCTGGGTAACTCTATAAAGGCAACGTAATTACTTGTTGTAGGATGTTTGAAATAAAGCTGTAGAAAGAATAGTCTCCTCATTTACATTATATAGGTGCTTTCCATAAAAACAAAGTGCACCACAAAATACTGGTTTGCTTTGGAATAATTAAGTGTTTTTTAAATGACATAATGCATGTCATAATACAGTAGGACTGCACAAAACACTGTAAAAAAAAATCCGTCTTGATTTAGTATTCATTGCACAAAAGGCAGAGCTCTCAAGC